TGTCCGCTTCATGCGACTTATACTACGCGATTCAAGCGACCAAAAGCGACTGACTCTTGCTTCATGAAAATAGCTTAAACATAGCATCGAAGAAGGTCTTGATCATAAGGAACTTACAATTACCGTTGCTCGCAGGCAACAACAGATTAAGACTACAAAACGGGAATGCAAGACAAGCTGCGGTGTACATAGGCAAATACAGTTATTTCCAACATTTCTTTTTGATGTTTAGGTTTATTTCACATCGACCTTGCAAGTAGTATTGTAAAATATGCCTTAGTACAATTAGCCTTAAACTGTACTAAATTACATACCAAATTGAAATACACGCGTTATATAAATTACTTAACACTAGCTAATGTGTTATAAAAATCTTTACCGTGCCAAAGTTTTCATTCAGTGGCAGCATTAAATACCTGGAGCAAGAGAGAGACATACAGAGAGAGAGAAAGAGAGAGAGAGAGAGAGAGAGAGAGAGTGATTGTGTGCGCGTCAAAAATAATATAGAATTTTTCAATTGCATTCGCAGCCATACTGTTCACACTTTAGCAGTGTATTGCTGCCAGGAATGCGTCATTCCGTCTGTCCGACTGTCCGTCTGTGTGCTACTCGGTTTGAGTGCTGTCTACGGCGTCTCTGACATGTTTTAAGCATAAGTGCAATGCATTTAGCTGTCAGTGCTGTACGTTCCCTTTCGGTTCTTGGTGCTGGTCTGGTCTTGGCTGACTGCCTTTAAGACCTGGACCGGGCCCTAGTGGGGCACAGCACCAGGGCACATTCAGTGGACCAACCCAGGCCTGTGGCAAGTGCGCTTCTAACAGTGCCAGCCAAATTGAAAACTTAAAGTCTAGCAACAAATGTTGGGTTGTGTTCCAAGTTGGAGGACAATTTTCACGACGATGTCGTTATCATCGTCGCCGTCGCCGTCGTCGTCGTCGTCGTCGTCATCGTCATCGTCATCATTGCATGTGCATTTATAACATCAGCCTCCATTAAACGGCTCAGTTCCTGTTCACATTCTGTTTTTCTTCTCCACAGAAGTTGGTAATGCGGCCCAGCTGGCCATAAAATTAACGCACATATATGCATTATTTTCCGTAATGAAATTATTATTAAAACCAACGAACTGGCAAATAAATCGCGAAAGAGAGAAATAAAATATATAAAAGAGGAAAACACTGCTGCAATTAAATTGCAGCTTTATTCAGCTCCAACTTTAATGTCCGGAGGGAGACATCTCCTGCATATTGACAGCTGCATTTCCAATTGCAGTCGCTTATCGGCTCAGATGCTTAATTGCAATGTTTTTTAACAAAAATTGTATATTTTTTATATTCTTGTATGGCACATGGCAATTAATTCAAATAGTTTCGCGCAGTAAAAAAAAACACGAATTGAAATAAATAACTTCCACGAATTTTGCACAGTAGAATAATAGTTTGTGTGAAATATGGGGTATATAAGCTATGACAGCATGTTTGTTACATACAATAATATATATGCAAATATATTCTACATTTTCCCTTATTTATAGATCAAGTATTAAGAAAAATACATTTAATTTAATGTATAATATTTATAGCTTTGTAGAGCAACTAATTATCGCATAGAAAAATATAACAATTTCATGCCATTTTTTTTTATAAGTTACTCAACATAATTATGCACATATGGCATTGGCCGTGGGCATTTTATATGCTTGTGTATGGCTGGAACATCCGGCGCCACATTATTATAAAGTGCCATTGAACATTTATGGCCAGTCATAAATCAAAAAGCTATCGAAATAAAAGCCAGTGTAGATAATCTCCTCGTCGGATGGGGCGACACTTTTTACAACTTATTGGACTAATCAGTAATCAGGGGCATGAGAAATGCGATGCAATATCAGTACCTCATGAAGTAAGGGGTTTGTCCGGCTAACATAAAGTAGCACGCGACACGCGACTTACACCCGCACTCCTCCCTTCGCCCTATCGTCTTTAGGAAATAATTTCGGGGGCGCATAAACAAAGTTGGGTGCACGGCAACCCCAGTTGACAGCAGCAGTAGCAGCAGCAGCAGCAGCAGCAGCATTAGTCGCAGCTGCTGTGGCGGCAACCAGGACGACAACGTCCGACATTTGACAGCTTAGCGCCTTGCGCAACCGTTTCGTGGCAAGCGGTTGGATGGTGTGTGTATGTGTGTGTGTGTGGGAGTGGGTGGGGTGGGGAGGAGTTGCAGCATGTCAACGTCTGTTTTGTTGTTTGGGAAATTGCATGCCTGAGTGCCGTTGCAATTTGCAATTGAGTTCTTTGGCTGCAAGGCACACACAGACTCACATGCCAGCAAAGTACCAAAGTACTCTATCTCTAGCGAGGATTACCCACATGTGGGTGTCCTGGCCACAGAACATTCGGTTAGGCTCAAAAAGAGAACAGCGAAGCGAATGTCGTCGGAGCTGTGCAAATTTATGGGCAAGTGGAAGCGAGTCCTGTGTCGCTTTGCATAAATTGCTCGACTTCTGTTTGGTTAGAATTAATGAGTGCGGGAAGTGGGTGAGTATGGAAAGCACTCTAGATAACATTTGAAAACGATAAAGAACCAGCGAAGAGCTCTAAATTTAAGCAAGAGTTAAGAAATACTTGCTATACGATTTTGGAATACTTTTTCGCATCAAACATCAATTGTGGTTCAACTTCTTCTTTTAAAGTTTTCAAAACTTGAAGTCAAATCTTCCAGCATTCTTAGCTTGAATCTAAAGCTTAAATAAAAACATAAATCTGAAATCAAAAATTATGTCAAACTATCCTTGAAAGGACAGCCTCTGAACAGGGTTCAGGATATTAAATCTTACAATGCACAGATAATAAGAGGAGACGACATAAGAAGAGGACTTTTATACCGACTCACGAGGTAGCAAATGGCAATTAAACTATAAACGATAAGAGTTCTACAAAGCAAATATATATATATATATATAAGAGTCTAAGCATTTTCAACATATAAGCATAATTGTAGGTAGTAGTGAGATGACTAAAAAGTTTTCAGTAAACCTGAAGAAGCATTTCTGCAGCTGTCTATTTTTAAGCCTTTAAACATGTAATAGTTTCATAAAGTAGCTCTTGAGAATAGATTTCGGTGGAGACTCAATATCGTTTGAGCGTTGCAAAATTAAAATTAGTAGTAATTATCAATTTACCGAATTCAAATTCACCTCAAATCCACAAGAATTACGGGCAAATTGCTTCAAATATCTTTCATTGAGCAGTGTCAAAACTGCTTTACGGACTTGAGGTCATGCCAAAAAAACTATACAACACGGAGGGATAGAGATATAGATATATATTTATGTTATATATATTCCCTTATTCTCTCTCTCTCTCTCTCTCTCTCTCTCTCTCTCTCGGTCTGTGAGCCCCATGTACCTTGAGCTCATAGCTACCCCCGCGGCGACATCGATTTACAACCCATTTACTCTCGACCCTCCCCACTTTCCTTACTTTCCCCACTGCCTTTATTACAAATATGAAAAGCACTGCACTTGACACTTCGCTCTCCACCCGTTGATTGGGCGCAGCATATGGATTCCATGGCCTAAAGGGAAAACTGAGCTCAGCTGAGCTGTCCTGGCTCTTTCTGGCTGGTGCAAATTTCGCCGAGCGCATTTCAATAAACAAATGACCCAAAATGCCTGTGGCAAGCAATTTTGGGGGATGTGCAGCTTGAGCAGAGCCGTGGTAGTGTTCGTTAAGGAGTCTGTTGCAAAGTGGAGAGTGAACGACACTCAATGCCATGACAACAGTTTTAATTCAATTCCATTAAGAGTCGGCAAGGACGATGCACACAGCTGTGCGAATTGTATTTTCCTTCCATTTCCCCTCCCTCTCTCTCTCTCTCTCTCACTTTCTCTTTTCTCTCTGTCTCCCTCTCCCGTTTCTCAGTGTTATTTTTTTAATGTTTGGCAGCTAGCAAAGAACTAATGAAGCGCGCAGTGGCAACGCGAGGATTGATTGCTCCCCGGAGGCGCCGATGGCAGCAACAGAAGCAGCACCAGCAGCAGCAGCCACTTGACGCAAAGAAAACACTAAAATTGATGCAATCACCAGGGCCAAAAGCCAAACTCAAACCTAACCCCAACCCCAATCCTGCAACGCCCTTAGACATCAACCACCCCCCCCGTTTGAGGGACTACTGCTGCATGAGCTCAGCCTGTGCTGCAGTTTCATGAATGGTTTGATAATTTCTGCTTGCAGGGTTGACATTGTTGGATTTGAAGCGGTGGAGCGAGGGGAGCAATGGCAACTCCCCGGGGTGGGTTCAGCTGCATAATAAGACTTGTTAAGTTGCCCGCTCGTTAAGATAAGTGAGCCGGCAAATGGCGACAAGTGCGAAACTGAACATGCCACAATGATTACCAGCTTAAGATACGCGAATGTGGGGTGTGCAGCTGCGATAGGGCTGAGATACACACGCACACACACACACACACACACACACACACACACATAGCCTCGAGCAGGTTTGGAAAACCTTTCTCTATCTTTTTGGCAGCCAAAACGTTTATAAGAACTGTGGGAGAGCTCTGCTTTGAATATCTAAACCAATTGCAAATGGGATGCAGTTCCAATTCAAGGAAGCAAAAGCAATTGTAAGAAAATTCAAAAATATTTAGAATAATATTATTTCACTGAAGTAGATAACAGAATAAAGTGGCACACAACGGTCCCTTAAGAGTTTGCTTTCTGGGTTAACTTTGATAGTTTAAAAACCAACAAAATTCTAATTCTTATTTATTTTAACTCAGAAAATACAAAACTTGGCTTACAAAGTTTAAATTTGTTAAAAACGTATAGCTTAAGAAGCAAATAATAAGTAATTCAATAGGCGTTATACATATTCCAGCTGAAAACTTCTCACCTCAACTTTAAAACAAGTTCAAATATGCTGTTGTTGATGTACAGATTAGGAACTATTGTTGCCTAACTAATTGGAGGAATAAAACGTGTTAGAAAGCTCACCTCAATATAACCCTGAACGCTGTCGCATTGCTGGAGCACCAGAATACTGGGATTGGCCTTCAGTTCGTCGGGTGAGCAGGGCGACAGGAATCCACTGTCCGCATCACTGTGCGTGGACAGCGGACGGGGCTTGCGTATCTTGTACTGGACATGGCGACTGGGCACCGGTCCCGGATTGAACAGTACATAGTTGGACTCGATGGGCACCGTGTTAGCGCGTTGATCCCTCCGTTGCTGCTGCAGCAGCTGGTGCAGATGGAGCATGTGATCCGAGGTGACCAGCTCCGAGATGGCTCGCTGATCCACACACGACTTCTGTTGCGATTTCTTGCCCGGACGAAAGGGCGACAGATTGAGAAAGGTGAGCTTCTTCTTTGGTTGGCTGCTGGAACTGCCGCTCGAACTCGCCGAGTTGGTGGAGGTGGATGATTCCACGAGGGCTGTGGAGGTGGTTTCTGTGTCCTTGGACTCCTGACTGTTGGACATGCTGGGCATCGCATCGAACTCGTTTTGCAGCTGCTGCTCCAGTTTGGCATTAACCAGCTGCTCATTGCTAAAGGGATTGGGTATGCCAATGTCCAGAATAGTGGGCTCCATCTCAAAGTCTGCCGGATCGATGACAAAGTAATTGTGATGCTCAAAGCTGGGCAGCGCACAGGCGCTGGTTTCCGTTTCCACCTCAGCCTCGCCGGAGGTCTCAATAATGATGGTCTCCTCGAGCTCGTCCCCCTCCACATCGTAGATGACCTCCGGCACCAGTTCGTCCCCATCGTCATCCTCGTCCTCGCACACCAAATGCTGCCGCGAACTGAACAAAGGATCACGCAGACCGTGCTTGGCATTGCTCGGATAACGCAACGCCTTCTCATTGATGAAGTCTACGGGATCGAACAGGCAGTAGTTATCCATGTGCGAGGTGGCAGCCTTGCGCTGACGCACGGGCAGATTCTTTAGCTTCTCGCTGTAGTCGGCGGCATCATTGTCCTCATTATTGTTGGCCAGCTCTGGAGCAGGTGGCGGTGGGGAGAGCTCCTGACTTAGCTGCAGATCCTGGGTGCCAATCTCCGACTGCTGATGCTGATGCTGCTGCTGATGCTGCTGATGCTGCGATTTTTGTGAGCCGCGATGCAGCGTGGCAAACAGACCACGTGCTATGCAGTTCTTCAGCTCCGTGACACGCCCCTTATAGGGGCTAGATTGGGCGGATTGTGCGCTCACGCCCAGCTCCTCCAAGCCGAGCTGCTTGCTCAGCTCCTTGCGCTCCTTCTTGCTCAGCACCACCTTGCCGCGACTGGGCGTATTCGGCGCCGAGTGCAGCAGTCGCGATGGCATCTGCGACAGTGGTGGTGGTGTCGGTGGTGCTGGCTCACGCTGCACCACCGTGCTGATGGCATAGCTAACGGGCAGCTCACTGTAGCTGCGACCCACTGTCGTGCTCTCTTGGCTAAATTCCAACTCCATGTAGTTGGCACTCTCAGTCTTCGAGTGTTGCATTTTGTGTTGCATTTTGGGGCGGGCGCCCAATTGAAGGAGCTGCTGCTGTTGCTGTTGATGGTGCTGCTGCTGCTGCTCCTCGTTGGCATTGCGATCGGGTCGCAGTTTGCCACGGCTGCTGGACATGTTTTGCGGCTGCTGTTTGTCCTGCTTATCCACTCATAATTACCACTCATTGCCAGCCGACGAAAGGCTTCATAAAAGTTCTTTAAGCTCGCATTTTTTTCTCGTTGCTCACTTTTTTTTGCACATTTTAATTTAAATTTTTTGTAGGCTATATTTTCGGTTTTGGCGTGTTTCACATAAAATTAATGGTTTCATAAATCTTCAGCTCAATGGGCAGTGTTTTTTCCGCTGCTAAATATATATCTACACGGGCGTTAATGGGGTTTTAGCTTAGGGCATCGTGCTGGGCACCAAACCAAAGCCAAAAACAAAAACAAAAACAAAACAAAAAAACAACAAGAGGAAAAAAGGGCGCACGCTTTGTACATTTGTTTTGTAATTGGATTTTTGAGCTGATGCATGTCAAAGTTAAATTAAAACTGACGAGAGTTTTGTTAGCTGTTTTTTGTCCAGTTCCGTTTCCGGCCCTGGTTGGGACTCGTTGTCGAGTGCTAACCCCGGAGCAAAGTCATGGGTCCGAAACAGAGCCCGGGTGTGGTTTTGTCTGTTTTTGAGTGATGCACAAACGGTCCACTCGACCGATTTATAATTTGTCTACAAAAGCAATTAACAGCGTAAGGAAGTGTCGAAGGAAGTGTGGGCAAAGGAGCTGCTACCACTCACCCTCTCCCTCTCCCTGTCAACTATTTGCTTAGTTTCCACTTTAAATGAGTTCAAAATGAGGCATATATCTAAGCAAAGCTAAAATATGAAAATTGAGTCGGGAAGTTTGGGGCGGCGGAGGTGAACCAACAATCTACCAAATACATTTGGCTACAGTTTTACAATTATTGGAGATACAATGTGGATTTATCGCTTTGCAATTATCGAATTATGGGAGATTTGTGGATTTATCGATTTTATTTCCCCATAGCCGACCTATCGTTATCAGAGTAAAAAAAAAAAACATTTTTAAATTCAAATATAAAGGATTTTGTTGCACTTTAATATCAATCGCTCCCAAAATTTAAAATGCTCTTAAATCCTCTGCAAATTGCACACACATATTCAAAATAAATTGTTTCTCAAATTAAATTGAAGCTGGATGAGAATCCACAATCCTCAACATGTTTATTGACATTCTCTCGGAAGCAGCAGCAACAAAAAGAAATACAGAAATCAGATACAAATTTAAATGCCAAATGCATTTAGAGAAACAATTTAAAGGCGTGTCAAAAGTTGCATAGTTGATGACGCCAAAAGGAATTGCAAAAAATGCAAAATGCCAGCTGCAGCAAACCAATGAAGAATCAAAGAAAGACAAAGCAAGACAGAAGCAGGTGTTTCAGTTGTCTCCGCTCAAGCCATTAATTCGAAAGACTTGTACAAGAATGAGAGTAGCCTTCTCTGATGAGGAATTGCAAAGTATTCTCCGCCTTGAATATGCCTTAATATTCGACTATCTGCCACGGCTCGACAAAGTATGCAGCAACAATGACGCAACAAACGGCATTTTGATGGCAAGCGAATGGGAAAAGTTTTAATGCCGGCAACAATAGCAAATTGAAAAGGCGGCCCAAAAGTAACAAAAACAAGAACAACAACAATAGCAACAACAACAACAAATGGCAACTTACAGAAGCCGCACACAGCTGGAGACGCAGTGAACCAACAAGTTGCATAATTGTTGGCGCATGATCAAATTAAATGGCCCGAAAACGACAAAGGAAATTGGCGCAAAATGTAAATGTAACATGAAAATGGAACTGTTGCCAGGCTGCACAGGTTGCTTCATCGGGCTAATTTTGTAAATTTTGCGCCATGAATTATACAAGTAATTTGCAATTAAAATGTTAATTTTTAGTTGAATTGCCAAGGCGAGAGAGAGAGAGAGAGATAGATAGATAGAGAGTCATCTGAAGGTGTAGCTAATTAGCTGCTAGCAGCTGGTGTTGGGCCATTGCACTCTTAGCCAACTCCTAGTTTCTAAGTTCAGTATGCCCAACTACCTTGCCCCTTGCCTCCTGACTGCACTTAGGCAAAGTTGACAAAATACTTGTCAAGATTTGTGTTGTTCTTGTTCTTGTTGTTGTAATTGCTGTGCTTCAAGTTGTGAAAGCCGCAAGCCAGCTGCGGCTTCAGTGAGTTCGTGCAGACAAATCACGGCACGCCCCTGCAATGCCTGCCCCAAACCATTTGGACTGCTGGCCATCAAGCCGCAAACTTTACGAGTTGATAGCTGAAATAAAGTGGAGCATGCATTTGCCAGCACCCCTCCCCCCTCCCCCCTCTCTCGGTGTTCCAGAAGAACTTTGCCGCTGCCACTTCATGACATCATTTTATTTGCACTCAATCTCAGTGCTTGCGCCGCCTGCGCAAAACTTCACCACAAAAGTTGGTTAGAAATGCTTTTGATTCAGTGTTTCCCAAACGCGTTAGTTCTTTTGCTTTTCTTTCTTTCCAGTTTACTCTCGTGTTGCTTTCTTTCTTTCTTTCTGCCATTTGTTCTTTCATTCAGCACTCAATGCTACTCCGAAATGCTAGTCAAACAAGCTGACAAAATGGCAGCGACAGGAACTGTGAAACTATTGAGATACCCTAACAAAATTACTCAGAATACCTTCCTTTTTTTTGTAAATATTGCGGACTCCATTTAAACTTTAACTATAATTGTTTGGAGGAATAAGCATATTAATCTACTCAGCTTTAAATCTGGCCTTAATTCCAAAGAAAGCTGTTTATCTCTAAGTATTCCCAGAATTCCCTTATGCTCTAATTGATAATAAGTAACAAATTAAAAATAATTATCTTAACTTTACTTTTTAGTTTACTTTTTCAAAATATTATTAAAATATATACACAAAGATGCTTTATTTAGGCTCACTGTTCTCCACAACAAACTCTATATACCCATCTTGAGGTAAACTATAGTGTAGAACAAAGTGGCAAAGTCTGTTGTCGTAATCGAAAAGAGAGAGGTGTAGATGCAGTGGGAATGAGAGAGAGAGGGACAGAGGGAGAGAGGAAGAAATAAAGCGAGTAAGAAAAAACTATGTGCGTATGACAGTTTCAAACACTTCTAAAGACTTTTGAGTTATGCTGCTGGTGCTCGGAGTGAGGGGGCGTGGTAAAGGCGTTAAAATATGGCATGCAACCAAACTTTGGTGCAAACACTTTTTCTTTTCTTTTCATTTTTTTCTCTTTTTTTTGTTTGTGTTTTCGTTGAAAATTTGTCTGCAACAGCCGAAGCCGAAGCTGGGGCAGCAGCAGCTTCCCCTGCGACTAAAACACAATCTATGTGCAATTCAATTAAAGCGCAATTTGCAAACAGGCGTCGTATTTTAGTTAGTTAACGACCAAATCCGGGCGAGCCAATTTCTTGGGCGGAATGGGTGTGTAGGCGCCCCAAACACATCCCAGCATCCAGCCGAGCCCAAACCCTCAACTCAAGCGAGCAACTCGAATTTAATAAGACTCATCAGTGCAAACGGAAATCGCTTGAGGAAATTGTATGTTTTAAGCAAAAGCAACAGCAGAAGCAAAAGCATACATAATAAACCCATATAAAAGATTGTTGCATGCTGTTTGGGGAGCAGCCAAATGAGCGAGGGGGTGGGCAACGCATAAATACCCACATTCGCAAATCGCAGCAGCAGAGCGGAGAGAGGAGAGAGGAGAGAGGAACAGAGAGACACAGCGAGCAAATAAAAAGAGATAGCCCGAGGCGGACAGCGGCGAGGACAAGCAGCGGAGCAGCGGACGAAAACGAATGTTATTAAAAAGGAAAGCAAAGCAAGGAAACCAAAGAGCAATGCAAGAAAAATAACGGCAAGCAAGAAGAAGCATCGCCAGAGTCATAAAATTTATTAAATGCCCAAAAGTATGACAGCTATAGACAATTTATGGGCGGAGTCGGCTAAAAACTGTACAAAAACACAGACCGGGGGGGAGATGGAGGGGGTGTGTTGAATATGGAAATTAGTTGGCCAAGAATGCGCTGCGCAATAAGGTAGATCCTAGCCGAAATCCGAAATCACAGAGGAGCTAGCTAACTACAGTGTTAGGATGTAATCAAGAGCAGAGAGCTGCTGGCCCTTAAGTAAGCGCTTCAAATAAAGCTGAGATGAATGGAATTAAATAAAAGATGCTTACAAAGAAGCCTGTTTATATTAGCGAATATCATTTATATGCTAAGTACTATTAAGTGTCGAGTAAAAAGAAAAACTAAGTTGATTTTTACATTCATTTTTCATTTTTGGTCTCTAGAACAATACAGTTTTAGTAATTAAAAACTCCCCCATATCAATATACTCATACACAAAAGCTAGTTCTACTGCTCAAAGAAGCCAATGCCACAGCCAAGTAGCTCAAAGACTTTAATATTAACTGCAAAAGCTAGCTCAACACGTGCCACACTTGTTTCTTCATTAATGAAATGGACATTTTGCCCACTGCCCTGCAAAAAAGACGCTAAGAACAAGGCAAACAACAACAACGACAAAAACCTTTGCATATTTATAGGCCCAGCGCATAAAATTTACACTAATTTAAAGTAGAAAGCAGAAAGCAGACCCGCCTCCTTTGCTAGTCACTGTCATCAGGCTAGCTTCATAACTCATAGAGGAACTGGGCGCAGAGGAGCTCGGGAGGAGCAGCAGCCATATGGTCACGTGTTGAGCTCATAACTCAGTACAATCGCATGGCCTATTAAATTTAACGCGCAGGACATTTGTAAGGATTTGCCAAGTAGATGCCAACATTTGCTCGCTAAGCATGCAAGTTTTTAATTAAAACAGCTGCTATTTAAACTTATTCGATGTCGTCGTCGTCGCCTAATCCATTTAAGGAATGACACCATAATCAATCCCTCTGCGAATGGCGGCAAATTCAGTTGGAATAATACAATTTTCGTATATACGGCACTTTCTTGCGCAATTTTCCACTACATCGGATTAAAATGTGATATGTTTGGGCTTGTTTACACACACGCACACACGGGCGCTAGAAGTGAACGGAGGGAAGGGAAGGGACCTGCG